AACACTTAATTAACACTTAAGAATTCATTACTTAAATTTATCCACTCTGAATATACTGACTAAAAGTATTAATATTTAATGAAAAGGCCATTAAATAAAATAACAAAACTTAAAAAAATAAATATTATACAAATGATTAGCTGGTTTTGCACCAAAATCCAGCGATTAAAAAAAAAAGAAAGAAAATCCCCCGTATATTGCAATAAAATATATAGGAACAATTATGTTATAATAAATATATATATTACAAATATTCATAATACATTTCTTTTGAATGGCTAGGTTCAATTGTAGTATTATTATTATTATATTGGAGCACTTGTATCATTTTACTTTTGTTGTTCTTAGCGTCTTTTCCGCTAGAAGTACTACCATTTGAGCTTACAGAGCTATTACGTTTGACTCCAGCCACACTTTTACCATCAGCATCGACAACAACAACACGAGAATGCATCACTTCAAATTGTAATATAGGACTCATCTTGCAACTTCTTTGATGCCTTTTGTAAAAGTATATCAAGAAAATAGCGATGACTACTATTAATACCATAACTATAATTGCAGTTATTGAGACTAATGAAGGAAAATGAGTTGAAGGTGAAGAATCCGACATGGAAATTGTTGAAGATGAAGGATTTGACATGGTGGCTTTCAAAGTGGTCGATGAGGGTAAAGAAATCGCCATGGCAATTTTGGTGAAGGGGGGTAATAGTTCTTTAATATGTCACTCTTTTAAACAAACAATGTGAGTTACAAAGAATTTTTATAAATAAATTGGATTTTTAAGCGAGTTTTGAACGTAAGGAAAGAAAGGAAAGGAATATAAAGACAACCTCGCGTGATAAAGGAATGAATGCATCAAATTAAAATTTGATGGTCAGTTGTTTGTTTGTTTTTTTTTTCTTTTTTGGTCGTATCTTTTCGAGAAACAGAATAAAAGAATAATTTCTTTCAAGAAAAAAAAAAAAGTTCAAACTAATCTTTAATGCCAAAACTTGTTTGCGATTAGGTTAAAAAAATATATGGGAAGTGTTCAAATCCGATCGTTCCAATTGTTGGCGAAAGCTGCAAAAAAACCAAAGTTGAGTATTACAAATCTTCATGGAAATATTGGTTGGTCTTGTAATACGTATACATATATATAAGCGCAGGAAACAATCATGATTAGCTCTTTAAACCAAATAATAACAAATAAAGTGTAGAATTGTATTTATTCATAATATAAAACGAATAAAAACCAAAAAAAAAATGCTATGTAGAGAATAACAATTTTTAGAAATAAAATGCTCTTAAATACACATAACTTCGTTTTCTGATTTGCAAGAAACTTCTTTTTCTAGCTGAAATTATGCTAGTTTCTTCAACAGTTATTTAATGTTGTTACAATGTCATTGGTTTGTGTTATACTGTAATTTACCCTGTCCAACTGAATTAATTTCCCACAATGAATTTATTTGAGTTACTTATATGTATAACGATTATCAATAACGTTAAATTTAACGTTAATCGTTGTTTTTTTTCACCTAACATCACACAAAAACAATGTTTTATTCTACAATGATTTCACTTTTTCCCTTAATCGTTCTAAGAAATTATCAACTTTTTTCCGGTTTTATCACTTGGAAATCTTGGCTGACCAATGATAATTATCATTCTGCAAATTTTTATCTGTATGTGAATCTTTTTTGATAAACTCGCATTCATTAAAACTTTTTTTTTTTTTTCTTATTAGCGTTATGTACAGTACAGTATGTATTACACAATCATGAGATTATTCTACATTTATTTGCGTTTCTTGCATTAAATCTTAAAAATTTGAAAATTCGTGATTCGCGCAAATTTCAAAGTTTACAAACCAAATTCTTTGAATTTTGCTTATGCAAACATTTTTTTCGAATATAACAAGTTATATTATAAAAAACAGACAAATTCATGCATGCTAACTGTCATGATTATTCATGATTATTCAGATTGTGCCAATTGCAATAAATCGCTGTGATATTCATGATCTCACCGATATTTTTGGCAGTTTATTTACCCTTGCGTATTAGAATTTGTTATATCCGAGATTTTTCTTTTAATTACTGCTAAATCCTTGGTTCTATCAAATAAGATGCTTCTATTTTATTTGACCACTCGTAACGATATAGGCCATGATTGGTTAGATTATTTTTTGACGTATTGTACGTACGTACGTACGAATATGTAAAATTATTGTTTTTGTTTTATTAAATGCATTGTCCCATTAGATACTATTTTTGTCTGCTTTAATTCGTTACTGCATTTAAAAATATTTATTGTACCACAGGCTTAAAATCTCCAGTCATGTGATTTTGTTCATTTCTTATATAAACTAGCACGTTCCATAAATGAAGAACAAGAGTGACTGTCAAAGCTTAATGAAAGTTCAATTTTATTAGTTACCTGTTTTCCATTGGAAAAAACACTGTTACACGAACTTTTATTTTTGTTTACAATACTGCAATTACAGCAATACGTAGAATTCTTTAACCAGAAATAACCAAATTTTTTATCGTAATTAAAAATTTCTAAAATTTTAGTAAGATTACGGATAAAAATATACCATAAACTTCGATTAGAAGCGATTTCAATAATACCGCATGAAATTTTTAACCCTTTATGATAAACCAGAAATAGCTAATAGAAAAACATGTCAAAGTTCAAGTTTCACGTAAGCAAAGTCATACTGTAAAGTAAGGGGAGAATAATAAACCAGAGGCCAATTATGACGCACTATTAATATATCGTACTCCACTGGCCCGAGTTGAATGACTTTGGTACCAATCGATTCGTCTCAACGAGACGAGTTGAAATGGTACTAGAATCTTCCAATCATCGGATCACGAGGTATCGCTATTCAATCACAACTAAGTATTTCTTAAAGTTGTCATAATGCAATTTCGTACATGCTTTTGAAGTTTATTGCTGCTTTGCTTAAATTTAAATAAATTTTATTTTTTTAAAAAAACAATTCATTATAACGCAGTGAGAGTGGGATAAACGAAATGCATGCAATTTTTAATGCCTATCCCTTAAACCGTCACTAGTTAGCGGGCAAATTTGCCTGCTAAAATGTTAAAATAGTTATGTTTGATCTATTTTTGTTAAATTTTAAATTATTTAAAAGAAATTTTATATAATTGTATTTGAAAATAAGGATTATAAAATAGTAATATTTATTTTTAAATTATAAGAATTAAAATTTTAAAAATTAATTTTTTTCAAAAAAAAAAATTATTTTTACTCATTTAAAATACCAAAAATAAGTATACTTTAATTTTGATACAAATTGTAGAATTTGGTTTAAAAAATAGGTTTAATTATAGGATTTTGTTAAATTTAGCAGGTTGTGATATTGCAGGTTAATATTTTAAAAAAAATTAATATTATTATTAGTTAAGGTTAGGGATTGAACTAGCATTAATATTAATTAAGGTTAAAGAGCATATTTATATACAAAATTAAAAGCTAAAAACTTTTAATTAAAAGCCCAAGACTAGTTTATATAATGAAATTTCAAGATATTTGAAATTTTTAATATTTTTTATAATTTTTTTAATTTTTTGTTAGTTTTTGTTATATATGATCCTGTAATTTAATTGGTCAATTATATTAATCTGCAATATAACAACCTGTGATATTTAACAATATCCTAATTATAATTTATAAATAAAATTTCAACTTTATATAGTAATATGGGCCAGTGCAAAAATATAGATACATAAAAATTAAAAGTTAATTTTGTTTACATATAAAAGTTTTTTAATTTTAGCTATATATCTATAATTTTTTTATATAAAATATTAATACTTTTAGTCAGTATATTCAGAGTGGATAAATTTAAGTAATGAATTCTTAAGTGTTAATTAAGTGTT